ACAGCCCTTGTTACATCTTCTTTGATAATATCCCAACTTTGCCTATAGAAGTCTCCTGTAAAACCATCAGGTCCAGCTGCACTATTAGGGTCAAGATTCCATATTGCTTCCTTGACTTCTTCCTCGGAGGGTAGATTGATGAGGGTTTGGTTTTCAGCTTCATTGACCAGGTTTGGAATGTTTGAGAGGAATTGTTCATGTCCCTCACTGATTTCCCAAGAGAAAAGATGACTGAAGTAGTTAACAGCCTCTTGTTGGATGTCTTTATTGTTTTCTATCCATTCTCCTTGGTTGTTTTTTATTCTCTGGATTGTTTGGAAGTGTCTTTTCTCTTTCAAAATTGCATGGAAGTATGAGGAATTGCAGTCACCTTCTTTAAGCCATTTGATTCCAGCTTTTTGCTTCCAGTACTGGAATTCATTTTTAGTGGCTTGGATCAGATGTACTCTTGTTTCATTCATAAGGGTCCTATTTTCCATGCTGGGATTCTCATCAAAAATATTTTCTGCCTCTTGTAGTTGTGACTCTAAATCTTCCACTTTGGTTATGATGTTTCCAAAGGTGTTTTTGTTCCAATTGTAGAGAGCTGTAGTGAGTTTGGAGAGTTTGTCCATCAGCCCTCTCATCCCTCCTCCTTTATAGTCACCCCAGTTGTCTTGAATAATATTTCTGAAGGAGTGATGATTGGCCCAACAGTTTAGATATCTGAAAGGTTTAGGACCCTTGAAGCTGTGGTTGTTCATTTTGATGATGATAGGGCAATGATCAGAGTTTCCTCTAGAGAGATGCTGACTTGATATGCTAGCATAATGTGTCTGACAAATAGAGTTAGTGAAGACCCTATCCAATCTTTTCCAGACTCTGCCCAATGATCTTGTTCCTGTCCATGTAAACAGGTTTCCAGTGAAAGGGGGAGTATAGAGTCCATTGTCCATGATACAGTTATCAAAATCCTGGATGCTGTTGAGGCATGGAGTGCTTTTCCCTTTGTGATGTTCCAATGTTGAGATGGCATTAAAGTCCCCTCCAAGAATCCAACAATTATTATTGTTTTGATTGCTGATGTTGATAGCTTCCCAAAGATCTTTTCTATCTTCCTTGGTGTGTTTGCCATAAACTCCAGAGAATAAGATATTTTCTTTTGTTTGATGACACTGGAAGAGAACATTAATCATTTGCCCCAAGTCTGTGTGATTGATATATGTGAGATGTTCATTCTTCCACAATATCCAGATTCTGTTACTTGAACTATGGATGGAGTTGGAAAATCCCAGTTCAAGTTGCAGGTTGGGAAGGTTATTAGGTTGGGATTTAGGTTCAATAATGGTAAGGATGGAAATTTTGTGTTTTGAAACTAGAAGGGATAACCTCTCCTTTTTAGAAGTTAGCCCACAGAGGTTCCAAAAGAGGCAATTCATTGATAACTTGTGTGTGAGGAACTGTTTGCTGTGGCTTTTTCTAGAAGTCTTTTGGATTTCCTTGTACTGATAGTTGTAAATCCATCCTTTTCAGGTTCTCTTTGTTCCTGATGGTTTGTTGTGGTTGGAGGAAGAATAGAAATTTCTGGATCACTCAGGTAATTCACATTGAATTTTAAGCATGTTTCCTGAATGTCTGAATCATCTTTTGAGGTCGTGATCATATCTTCTGATGATTTTCTACAGATGTTAGATATGTCTATCATCATGGCTTCTATAAGCTCATCATCTGAGGGTGTGGGTGAAGGTGAGTTTGTGAGGAGGTTGTTATGGTTGGTGTTTGATATAATTGGTTCAGGTGTGTTGATTGTATCAGGCTGGGATGAAATAGTGGGTTGGCTTTCAGGGTGGGGAGTGTGGATTGGACTTATGGTTTGTGTATGAGTGGTAAGTTTTGGGTGATGTTCTGTGGGGGTGGAATGTGTGGGGCTGATGGTTAAGGGTTTATNCACACACACACACATATATATATATATATATATATATATATATATATATATATATCTGTGTGTGTGTGTGTGTGTGTTTCATATATATGTATATGTAATAAATGTTATATTATTTATTTTGTGTTAATTATATAATAATTAAAGTTGACAAAATAAATTAGAAGCTTCCTTAAAGTGCCATTCGAAATTACCTAAGTTGAATATGAATGGGATTTGATTTCCTTCCTAAACTCTAAAAGGTACATTCCTATTAGGAATAGGAATGGGGATTATGCTCCTTATAAATAGGAGATCATCCCAGCCCCTTTAAACTACTAGTATTTTCGGCCCTAGCATAATTTTAAGAGAGAAAAATTTGTTTTGTTCTCTTAATACTTTACACCAAATATTTTATATTTTAGAAATATTCTAGAGAAATATTACTAGCATAATTTTCTCTAGAACACTCTTCATTGTTCGTGTGTCTCAACTGGAGGTCATATGCTTTTGTGGCTAGCTCTTGGATCAATCCATCAACCTACACATATCGTTGCTTGCTTGCCAAGAAAGGTATATTTCTCAACAATAACTTATAATAATCATAAGAGGTCCTAGGTGGATCTACGTTTGGACATCATAAATTTTGTTTTCTGTTGCCCTATCCAAGCGTAGAACCCAACAGTGGTATCGGAGCTGACTTATGAAAGTTATAAGTTTTGTAGATCTAATTGCCGTTAGGGTTTTTGATAATTGATAAAATATATGTGTATATATTTTCGAAAATTATCCAAAATTCAAGAAAGTTCCAAAATATGATTCTGGACTTTATAAAATTCTAAAATATGATTTTTGAATTAAATTTTGGATTTATTTTTATTTTCGGGTTAATCGGTTAAAAACTGTTTTAACCAATTAAAATATTTCGAAAATTCAAAAATTAAATTTTATTAAATATGAGACTTTTCAAATATGATTTAAAGACCTCTGGATATTTAAAAATAATTTTCGGAATTGATTTCCTAACTTATAAAGTATTGTTTGATTTGTAGTTAATTTGATTAATTACAAGATTAATACAAAATAAATTATGGAAAAATAATTTTAATCATTCATAGACTTTAAAATATAATGTTAAGAGCTCTAGAAATTTAAAATGAATTTTCGGAATTTATTTTCTAATTTTCAAAGTATTAGTTGATTTGTAGTTAATTTGATTAATTACAAAATAAATACAAAATAAATTAAAGAAAATAATTTTAATACTTCTGAGATGTTAAAATATTATTTTAAGTAATCTGGAAAATTAAAATAAATTTTCGGTTTTTATTTTCTATTTTTCCCGATTTAAATAATCTTATTCGGTATTAATATAGATTAAACTGAAAAGGACAATTGAAATTTGGGATTATATTTTTATGAACTTTAAAATAGGATTTTCAGACTGCATAAAATTGTTTAGAATTAAATTCTTAATATAAGTATTTAATTAATAATGTTTGGGAAAAACAGTTTTGGTAATTCGGTATTTAATTCCTGAAAACTAAATAATTAATTTTAAATTATGGAAATTTAATATTTGGTATTAATATCATAATATTCTGAGAATACTGGTTTTTGGAACAATTATGGTACATGAAAATATATTTAGAAATTGTTTTATGGATTACCAAATAATAAATAGAAAGTGCCAAAAATAAATTTAAGCATGTTGAAACATGGGTTTATCGCTTTATCGTACTAAAGCCATGTTCGTTTTTATGACAGGTTTTGATAATGCCAAACCGCTGTGAACGAGACAAAGTGTTGAATATACAAGGCAAGAAATGAAGATGAGAACAAGATCTAAAATAGACCAAGAACGAAGACCGTAGTTTTAGTGTGATCAAGACCGACCCAACCCTTCCACTATGGCTCTTTAGGCTAAAACCTTTTATTGCATGTCTCATGTCATAAAAATGATTTTCAAGCATGTTTAAACACATTAAAACCCTTGGTTCTTGCCCAACCAAAACCATAACCATCGGTTATCGGCGTTCGGCTATGGCCTTCGGTTTTCGGCATTGGTTATGGGCATTAATTTTAGACAAATGGTTTTTGGGTTTTTATCTTTGGTTTTTCCTTCTGGACACATTTAAAGGTTTTCCAAACCATTAGTTTTCGAAAACCATAACCTTTGTTTTTTTGGCGTTGGTTATCGGCATTCGGTGCTGGTTATCGGCGTTGGTTTTTGGCGTCTAAATCAATCAAGTGGTTTTTAATATCTATGATTGGTTTTTACTTCTGGGCATATCCAAATAGTTCTCCAACAAAAACAACCTTTCATTTTTGGTCTTTTGGTGAAAATCATGTGAAACGGCATAAACTTGGCTAGCCGTGGTTTTTACCTTAATGAAAGGGGTTTTTAAGTTTTTATACTTTGTTTCTACATAAAATACATTATATAAAAGTTTCCAACACTTGGTTTTTATTTTGGAGAACTTCGCATTTTTCGGTCGGGTTTTAGCGCCGGTTGGCTAGGCCATGGTTTTGGACTAGCCATCTACCCAGCGATGGTAGATATCACCCATCCATGGGTAAGTGATCCCGAGATTCCAGAACCATTCCACCCAGCGATGGGAGATATTACCCATCCATGGGTAAGTGATCCCGGATTCCAAAACCATGCCACCCAGTGATGGGAGATATTACCCATCCATGGGTAAGTGATCCCGGATTCCAAAACCATGCCACCCAGTGATGGGAGATATTACCCATCCAAGGGTAAGTGACTTCCCAGCAATTGGAGGATATTACCCATCCATGGGAAGACATGACCGTTGTAGGGCATTTAAGCCTAATTCTTTCATTTTTTGAAAGTCAACCTCCTTCGCAGCGATGGGAAGTTCTTATCCATCCATGGGTAGGTGACCGTTGTCTTTAAAACTGAAGGAAAAATGACCTACCAGCGATGGGAAGCTAATTTCCTGCAGATCCACTTTAATATCAATCCCACAAATCATGCTAATCACTCCATAAATGTTCTGATCCGTTGGAGCCTACTTTGGCACTATAAAAAGGGGTGTTTGGGTCTGCTTTACACACCAATTCACTTCACATTACACATATCATCATTGCATCCAAACAACATTATTTTCCATAGCTTTCTAGAGCCAATTTGTGAAGTTTGAGTTGTTCTTGAGCGTATATAGTTTACTCAACATCTACTCTTAAAGAGAGTCTTGTTCTTGAGTGTTCTTAGTGTTGTAAACACGTTTAGGGAAGCTTGTTTCCCTTGGTTGTACGAAGGAAAGGTATTTTCCTTCGGGTTGAAGTCT